TATATATATATATATATATATATATACATATATTGAAAAGACATATTTATAAAAACAAAATACGTAATGTATTACTATTAGAATTGTCTTCAGTAGTAATTTACCTGCTTTGATTTGTCAGTTCATCCATAGTTTTTGTGCTGATCCACAACTCAATGATCACCCAGGTGTAGCAAATGATCATTAAAACTGATGGGAGACTAAAGAGTATTACCAAACGGTAAATAGCCACAGCTAATCCTCGCCAATCTTTCTGCTCTTTGCAAGAAAATAGCGTAATGGTGATCTCATAATTGGTCATGGTTGTTTCTTCAGTGCTCTGTGGCAGTAATAATAAATACTGGTGAGGACGATTCTACAGTTGGGCCACAAGAAACACCGTTAAGTAATGAGAAGCAAATACGAGAAACGTGATACGAAGTTACCTGAGAACCGCCATCGAGAAAAATGCTTACATATTCAAAGTGAAAACAGACAATACTATTTCTATTAGTATTTTAAACACAATGATAAACTTATCAGAAATATGCCTATATTCAAACTACCTTTTCTTTTTACTTTCAAAGGAAATATGGCCTGACAAAAACTAATCAATTAAAACAAATCTTTAACTTGGTATTTTTTTTCTGGGCAAAATGTTATATATCCCGATTCAATGTAATATCTGAAAATTATCTTATTTAACTTCTAAGTTTAAAAATGCAATGACAATGATTCATTAACTTAACAATAAAGTTTCTAGTGTACACATAAAAACCACTAAGGTTTTCAGATAACAAAAAAACAAAAAACAAAAACGAATCGAATCTTTAAAATTTATTATTTAATTTGTCTTTCATTTGTGCGTTACGCTAAGCCTAAATGTATTATAAAATTCTTTTTTAGTTATGTATAGTGAAGTATATTTGATATATTGAATAGAAAAGTCTTTGCCTAGGGCTATATAAACATTAGTTGGGCAATTAAATTAAAAATTGTGTTGCTATTTTCCAATAAACTTTAGAAAATTTTTGAGGTTTAAATTCACAAATGTTTGCTACTGACAGCCTATTGGTCAAGTGAAGAAGAAAGGATATGAATTCCCAAATACTCTTGCTTTTTAGGGTACGTAGTTTAAATAATGATGTAGTTTTAGGGTACATGCTCTATCTCTTACTACCTCTTCACTTTAAAAAGCTTTTCTTAGTGGTTCTACAATCATGATATCCTAAAGACGTCATAAAACACACTCTTGACTTCGTTGTTAAAAAAAACAAAAAAAACATTTGGTGTCTAAAATCAGAAACATTATTCTCTACTCAAGTTACCTTACTAGCAATTACTGGAAGCGACAGCAGCAGGGATACAATCCACACTACAACCACCAACTGCTTACAGTTCCCCATGGTGCAGAGAGAGCGAGACTTTATGGGGAACACGATCACCACAAACCTGTAAAAGGTGAGTAAAAAAAAATGGATTAACAATGAAAACAGAATCAGCTACTTTCTTATTAATTAAAAACAAAACTTAAAGTTGAATGGATTAAAAAGGTAAATAGAATCAACTACTTTCAAACATTTCACAAACAGGTTTAGTGGATAAACGAATGCATAACAACTAATTTCATAGAACTTCATAAAAACGTAAGATTTAATGGATTAATTAGGAATACAAATCGACCATTTTCGTAGAATTTAATAAAACAGGGATAGTTCAAGATAATTTACAAAACTTTTAAATTTGCGTAAACATTATGAAAACTAATACGTATGAAACTTGTAAGATTTTTAAGGAACAAAGACAAATTTGTGAAAGATACAAAACGAGACTAACATAAAAATACGTCAATAGTACGTTTTGATTAAGGATACTTATGAAGTTGCTCGTTTTAATTTAAGCGATATAAAACTAATATTTTGATCAATCTGGATATGCACTGCTGGTATGATAACAGTGAAAGAATTGCGAAAAGTAAACTTTAGATTCATAAAAAAACACAAAATTAGCAGATTTCTTTAAAAAACATAGCTAAAGCTTTAAACATTATATGGAATATAACAAGTGCGGTAACATTACGCTTAACTTGCTTTGCATCACAATGTTTTATGGGGAAAAATTAGTTCTTGTTTTTGCTATAGGCAACCTAATAGTTTTATTGAAAACCAGAATTTTAGAATTCTGGAAAGATCGTATTTAGCGGTTAACTTAATAATTGCCCATATATATATATAGATCTAACTTTTGTGCTTTTTTATTGGTGCTAGCAACCCTTCCTGTAATTTATGTTAATGTAATTTATGCAATAGACTTCTCTATTTGTCCTGTGAGATTTGATGCTACACATTTACTTTCTATATAGTTTGCATAAATTAAGTTACCTTCCGCCACTAGAATAAAGGATCGGGAGGTGTAGTATCATGAAATAATTTCACCTAATGGATTTTCTTTTACTTTTTATATGTAAAGTTAAATAACTTAGTAAAGTTGAAGTTGCCTTACACATAAAATGGTCTGATTCCCCAGGGATCAGTTTTCAGAGTAGTAGACTGTTAATCTGATGTCATGTCTATGGACGTAACGCTAATTCGGGAAGTCTAATAACGTTTAAAATACATGCAACTTTTAACACTAGAAAATTAAGTGATGTGCATGTTGAGAAAATGCCAAAGTGACTGTTTTATTTAGAGCTCGCAGCTAGTAATTTACAACGAAATGGCGGCAAAACTGTTCTTTATGTTTGTTAAGTCAACGCTTTTTTTAAAAAAACTTTAAGAATGTCTACTTTTTCACAGAAATAAGTAAAACGCCGACCTAATGCACAAAGTATAAGAACTTCGTAATTGTTTGAAAGTCTCAAAAGAGATTCTTGATATCAAAAATAACTTTTACTTTGGACTTTAAAGAATATTATGAAATGTTACAACAGAAATACTTGAGCTTAATACTTTTCTTTCAGCATGTATTTATCAATATAATGTTACTTATATTATAAGACTAGTTCTCAGCGTACGACTAAACATAATAGCATATAGTTTTATTAACCCACTTTTGACTGCAATTCAGGCACAGGACAGTCATTATTTTAGAATATTTAAACAATCAGCTTCAAAGTATCAAATATGGAGTAAGTGTAGAAAGCGTTGTGAACACAACGGTGGTGAGTAAGCCTTTTGTTATACAACGGTGGCCAAGAGATTGCATGATTAACAAAGGAACCACGAATATTTTTCTTGAACACAACACTTGTGATTGCTGGAACTGTTTTCTTGATTGTTGTACTTTAAAGCTATTTTTGTCCTCCTCTTATGTAATATTTACTTCTGCAAAATGGTACACTACTGAGCACGAGGTAACAGTTCCGTCACAAGAATTGCAAAGGTTCTTCCATTCACAGTTAAACACATACATATATAGAGAAGACCCAACTTGTTGCCAACTCGAGAAAGTTAGTTTCAGTAGAATTACCTGTATCAGGACGATTCAGTGTAACGGATCAGGATCTATGTCTTAAGAGACACTGAGGAGAAATCATTTGATACTGATTAAAGACTACCTCGACAGCCCAGAATGAAAGATATAGGATAAGGTTTTTGTTAGCACTTTAACCACTACGTGATATACTAAATTAATCTTTTTTTTTTTTGTTAAATGAGGGATTTTTATAACTGAATGTTATAACTGGAAACACTATATAAAAGTTATATATTAAAGTAACCCCATCAAAACATAAGTGTGTACAGCTGTGGAACTATGTGTTATCGTAAAAGCACTAAATAATATTTAAGTAGTCCAAGACATCTATTATTTTTGTTATTACTAAATATAGGCTTATTCTTTTTGTCACTCTGTCGAGAACGCTTTTACGTTCCTTTTCTGTTAATGCTCAACAATATACATCGTCGCTTAGCAACAAAACTACCACCTGATTGTTCGTAGGCCTGCTATGGTGTTTATGTTGAATGCTCAATATTCATGTTAATTTGTTAGAAAAGTTTGTTTTTTATTCTCTATTTTTTGATAACTTCGGTTGATAACAGCAAAATAGTTTAAGTCACAAGATCATGACATTGAATTGTAGCCAAAAGCAAAATAAAATTGAACAAGTAGTGTTTCATCTATGCCTTACGTTACGTTTATGAATTAGGCCTAATGCTTAAATTAGACTACAAATAGGTGTACTGTTACTACCGTTTAGTGGGGAATAAATGTTAATTAACAAATATTATTTTGGCATTTTAACACACACATTATCTATTGCCCATCAAACATAAAGGAAAGCAAACGTTTATTACTACCAAATATCTTTTATCCTTTGTTCAGTCGAAATAGTTGGAAATTTGTGTCGGAATGTCCGCATTATGTTTTCCCAGAATAAAGTGAAAAGGCTTAACAGTGCTACTTAAGTCTCTTTCAGAGTGCACACGTACTTTTTCACGATAACATTTGATTTTTCTGCGTAGTTTTTACTAAAAATGTGGTGATTAAATAATTACTTCGAGCCTGATGAAATAAGTGAATAGATGGTGCATTTTGGAAGTACAGAGAAATTTGTTTTAGTTAAATTCTATAACTTCCGTTAATTATTCAACAATGGTTTGACGTCTTTTATATTCTAGTTCCTTCTATAAAATCAAACTGTCTAATATGTGTTCTATGTTATGTTGTTTAGCAACAAAATTATAGTGTGATATTATTGTTAGTGATGTACTGAAAGTCTAAAATGAAATATGTTTGTTGTTGTCATTGCAGTTGGATATGGTTCGTGATAACTAGCTTTGCCAGACCAGTTAAAAAGATGACGAGTTGGAGTTTTGCAAACCCCCTTGGGGCCTCCGCCCTTCCTTCAATATAGTATTTATGTTACGCAATAAACAGGTCTAACGTTAGGTCGTAGAATAACGTTATAAGTTTATTTATTGATAACATCAAGTACGGTACAGTTTAGCCTTATCTAAACTGGAGTAAAAAAACGTACAAGAGTTATGGTGGTAACGTGTCTCTATCAAATATAAGCCGTACTTAGTAAAGGCTTAACTAATGCTAGGCCTAAGACTAAAGTGGACTTGAACATTTCGGTGTCTTCGATTAAAATTACTTTATATTATTATGAAATTGAAAGTTCTGATACATCAGCTAAATACTTGGCATTCGTTTGATTCCTGTTAAGTTAGGTAACTGGAAATATAATGGATCATGGTTTATGCCTATGATCCTGTATTTAAAGACGTAATGTTACAATAAAGATACTACCATGACCGCAAATGTTTGGCGGGTATCTGCTAGTTTTTTGTTATATTTTGAGATCTTTATAATCTTACTTGACTCTGATTTTCCATAAGATTGGGCGTAGGATACACAAACAAATATAATAATGATCTCTACCATGTTTGTGTATCAGATCATATATTGTGGCTTCAGACAAGATGATTCCTAAAGAAACATCTTTATCCAATTGTATAACAGTAAACAGTATATTATGAATGGCCATTGGAAATTTTACTGATGATATTTTTCATTGAATGTACCATTTAATTACATGATACATCATTATTATGGGAAAATAACACCGTGAATTGGAATGAAGTGTTCAGTGTTGTTGTTGTTTTAACAGAAGACTGTTTGAGGTGTAAGAAGAGAAAATCGTAACAAGTGATTTAGCGAGGTTATATACTGACACAGTAAGACTAACATAGTATCCATCTTTCTGAATTTTGGGAGATTAAAATACACCTGGTGTTTTAGCATCTGTGATTCTAAGGAAATGGTATAAGTTGTGGTTAATTAAGTCTTATCTTTTGGGGCCTGGCAGGTATTTATTAAGCATTTTTTCTCTGTTAACCTTTTAGAAAAATTGTTAAATGGGACCTGTCTGTTAGAATTTATATCGGCTTACTATTGCTTGTTTGTTTGTTTTTGAATTTCGCGCAAAGCTACACGAGGGCTATCTGTGCTAGCCGTCCATAATTTAGCAGTGTAGGACCAGAGGGAAGGCAGCTAGTCATCATCACCCACCGCCAACTCTTGGGCTACTCTTTTATCAACGAATAGTGGGATTGATCGTCGCATTATAACGCCCCCACGGTTGAAAGGGCGAGCATGTTTGGTGGGACGGGGATTCGAATCCGCGACCCTCAGATTGCGAGTCGAGCGCCCTAGCCACCTGGCCATGCCGGGCCTTTTTTGAGGATGGTGTTTTTTTCTTTATACTTTATTCTAAGGCAAAGAATTCCTGACGACTTAGGTTAGGTTTAGAATTTGTTTTTTTACGATTTAATAGTGATGAGTGCCTCATTAAAAATTCAGATTATGGTTTTCTATTCAAATGTTTCAAAACACCAACCGGGGATTCGGGGTACTGTCAAATAGAAATAGAGCATGGACACCGTGTGTCATTGCCTACCGACGCCTCTTGTTTTTACTTTCTGGTATTACTTTCAATGGTTTCTAAA